AGACATCTTCCAAGCCCCCCCACCCCCTTTTTTTTTGCATTGTGGCATTATAGCGGCGAGTCAAACGAAAGGGCCATAGTTTGGTGACCCCTAGTTTTGAGAGGAAAATATATCCTGAAACAAGTAACCCCCACAGGGGTTTTAACAGCCATATCCGGTTATTAAAAAAGAATAAACAAGTATCTTAGAGGCAAACGTGATAAAAACAAAGGAACAAAACAAAACAAAAAAGATAAAGAAAATGAAACGTGCATGCTAAAGTGGACTTTGAGCTTCGCATAACAAAACGATCTTAGATCAACACCATCCGATCACGCTGGTGCCAGGAAACAGCCAGAGACAACAACAATAAGGACGAAAGTGCTGGTAAAATAAATCCCCCCCCCTCCTTCTAAACACACACACACACACACACACATAAATCACCAAAAACCGCCAATCAAGTCACACAAATTGATAAGAAAGACCTTCAAGAAAATGAACTCCAGATAACAAAGAAACAGGGAGGAAAAACAAAAACAAATAACCCCCACCATTTATCCCCCCCCCGGAAAACCCCCACGAAAAAAGACCCCCCCCCCCACTACACCCCCCCCTAAAAAGAAAAGAAAAAGCCGCAAAACAAAAACAGTAACAATAAAAAAAAACCCCTCCAAACAAAACAAACTAAATGCAACACGAACTAGAAAAAAAACCCCCACTTGTTTAAGATTTATTAAAGTTTCACGTTTTTCACGTACAACAAATATTACAAGATTTATCAGTTCCTTAAAGTACAACGTGCTGAACTCAGCAGACAGTCTGCTACGTGAGAACTCGCTGCTTAGAGCGACATTTAACTCTTTTGGTGTCAGGTCACCTATGCATTACCACACCGACCTTTCTTTACACCAATATAGCTTGATCATGTGGCGATAGATCTTGGCACAAGGAGAGTTAATCCTTCCACGGGGCTAAACAAATCAATGCAGGAGCACACTATTTATGGTCCATTTGTTCTGAATAATATTATCACGCACTTAGAGGCCGATACGTTCAAGTCAGACACAGAAGACATGACGCATTATCTGCAATACGTTTCACGCTTACAACACAATAAATAAATAAAAAAATCTGGATCAAAGAAGACGACAATAGGGGGTCAATTGTTGAGAATCTTTGATATGTGATGGGTTCGTGACCTCGTTAAAAGAAAAGAATTACTTCTTTTCCAGACACGTTCAGGGGGAGATTGTTGAGATAAATTATGACTACATGGCTTACGCAGGGTCACCTGTGGCTTCAATTATTTATTTCTTAGCACTTTATGACTCAAAACTTTACTGTAACTTTGAAGCATTCTTAAGCAAATCACCAGAGTTATATTGGTCATAAAAACAGGCGTTTCTCTTCTTTCTTCTTCTTCATTTCTATTTATTTTTTTAAGTATGAAATTTTGAGAAATACATCGATAAAATAACGGTCATATAGTGCAGGGAAGGATCAATGTCAGACATACAGAAACAACAGATGGAAAGAAAAGAAGCAGGACCTACAAGTAGCCCCCCCCCCCCCAAACCAACCATTCGCCTTTTTCAATTGCCAGCTCTAAAACAGCAATTGTCAAAAAAGGTTCGTCACTCGTTTTTCCACTCGGATACTATTTAAAAATTATCATAAAATGTCCCAGTCCTTGCCCGTCACTCATCACTTCAAGTTCTCTATTTACGTTATTGTTGGTCTACCTTTGCCTCTTTCGCTTTCTATTTTTGGAGCGAGAACAAGATGTTTAACGCTTTCGCGCCGACTTAAGTGTTCCAGGAACGAAAAATAAAACAACAAAGAACCTGAAACTTTCAATATCCATCATTATTTTGTGTGGGGGAGGGGGTGGTGGTTGGGATTTGCTCCAATAAGGGTATAAACGTCCTTAAACAAGATGTGTAGAAATTAAAGGAGTTAAGACAATACATGTATAAGGTAAACTGTATTGATCCAGGAGGGATATTTTGGTTGAATGTACAAGACCATCAACATACAACGATTCAGCTTCAACATGGAACCGAGCTCATATATATTCATGTTCGATGGTACATATTATGCAACAATGTACAACTCAGTTACACAGGGGAGCTCAAACAATGTTTCCGTGGTCATGAGTCCCCCCCCCTCTCTCTCTCTCTCTCTCTCTCT